TTTCTCAAATATTATCTTGTTATAGCTGTTCCATTACTTTACAGAGTAATAGAATTTTCCCTCTCTAAAAATATATTCTGACTATAAACTAGAACTGTAAGTCTATTTTAGGATATGATCTTTTTTTTTTCTTTTAATCCACAATAGAGATAAGCAACACTGTCCAGACATAAATGCTTAAGTTAAGAGGTGGACCATTTTATGCACATCCTGTTTAGATAAAATGATTGACAAGAGATATGTAAGAAATCCACGTTATTCTTGTGGAGGAAAAAAAAAAAGTCCATTATTTTGACAGTTCACTTTTTAAGATTAAGCACTTCATATTAACCAGAAAGGAAAATGAAATCATTTTAATAGGCCTGTTGTTTGATGGATTTAGTTATTAAATAAAATAGACACTAATTTAATGGTTAGTACTTCAAACAAAAGAGTTTTGACTGCAACAGGGATGCAAAGTAAGGACCAAGTGGCTTCTATTTTGGCAGAGAAGATACTTAAAATTCAGAAATATCAAAACAGCTTGTTTTTCTCTGAAATTAAATGTTTCAGTTTATCATTGGTCCTAGTTCTTATGTTGTATGGCACATTCCTAGGTGTTCATTGTTATATTGTTGATGTTTCACATATTCTTTTTTTTTTTTTTAAGTAAACCCTCCACCCAATGTGAGGCTTAAGCTCATGACTCTGAGATCAAGAGTCACATATTCTACTGACTGAGCCAAACAGGCATGCCCACGTGTTCTTTTTTATCTAACAAATGTTACTTTAAACCGTTTGTAAAGGAAAAGTCAGCTTGAAAAAATGTTGCTAATATTACAGAGACCGTTATAATCTTTCTCAAATGAGTATATATATTTATTTTTTACCCACATCTCATTTGGCTTATTGTGGGCCTATATTGCTGATAATCTCATCATTAATTTAATATACATTAGTGTGCTGGTAGCTGGAAAAGTTATCAGATGCGAACTTATTCTCAACAATGAAACATTAATGGTTTAACATCTCTCTTTTAGAATGTTTTTGAAGTGTTTTGCAAAATTGATTTAGTCACATCTCTTGACCTTTTTATTTGTTGACTGCTACCTTATGCTACTTAGAAAGTTTTCCAATATGCTTTTAAAAGCAGATCTATGAAGGAAATTGTATACAATTATTCACCTAAGAATGTGTTATTTTATAGTTTTTGAACTCTAATTTTTAAATAATGTAAGTTTTAAAGCTGATAGTGAAATTTCGCATTTAAAAAAGCTAAATATTTAGTTTATTTGTTATACATTAAAAATAAATTCAAAAATAAATAATGGATTGCATTAGGAACTATTGTTAGGATTTTAATTTATAATAGGAAACTGTTGTGATTATAATGATATGATAACTATACACTTACAAAGTAATTATTAAGACTATCTTTAAAATAATTTTAATTTTAAATTTTTTTTAATGTTTTATTTATTTTTGAGAGAGAGACAGAGAGACAGAGAGACAGAGCACTAGCAGGGGAGGAGCATAGAGAGAGGGAGACACAGAATCCGAAACAGGCTCCAGGCCCCTACCTGTCAGCACAAAGCCCGACGCAGGGCTCAAACTCACAAACCGTGAGCTTGTGACCTGAGCCAAAGCCAGACACTCAACCGACTGAGCCACCCAGGCACCCCAATAATTTTAATTTTTATATATTGGTTTCTGTCATAGGAGTTCACAGTCTTCCTGAACTCTGATTATTGTTTTTCTTACCAAAATTTTAAAGTAATATTTGTATATCACACATTATACTTTAAAAAAGAAAACTTGGGACGCCTGGTGGCTCTGTCAGTTAAATGTCTGACTCTTAATTTTGGCTCAGGTCATGATCTCATGGTTCGAGGATTCAAGCCTTGTGTCAGGCTCTGAGCTGACAACATGGAGCCTGCTTGGGATCTCTCTCTCCCCATCTCTCTGCCTTTACTGTGCTCTCTCTCTCTCAAAAAAATAAGTAAACATTTTAACAATTTTTTTTAAAAAAAGAAAATTTGAAAAGTTAGCCAATAGAGGAAAAGATAATTGGAGAAAGATACTAAGGTAATAAAAGTGAAAGCACACTTTAGTCAGGTATTAAGTCCAAGTATTAAAATTAGCATGCTAAAATAGGAAATATTAAGTCTAATGTTTGTTAAATCAAAGTATCTCGATTACCCTTCCTTTCTGTTCTTTCTTTTTGATGTATAACCTCCTTTAATGCCATGACTACCTCACTAGTAAGTATCAGGTAAGATTATAATTTTAGCACTCACTTCAAATTATATGAAAACAGCATCCAAAAATGCCATACTGAAACAAGGTCTACTTTCTTGGATCAAAATAGATTGTTGTACATTATAAATGATACTCCCTGACGTTTTTGTAATGATTCATGAAACTAAGGGGCTGACATTTTAGCTCAAAGATTTCCATAAAATGCTAATAAAACAGGAAAACGAATTGCAAGTTACTTCCAAAAGTATTCAAATAATTCTAATCCTTATCTTCCACTAATGCTATTTGTAATGCTTTAAAAAATCTACAAATACAATTGAAAATATTTTTTGGAGCACCTGGGTGGCTTAGTCAGTTAAGTGTCTGACTTCAGCTCATGTCATGATCTCAGGGTTCATGAGTTTCAGCCCCACATCAGGCTCTTTGCTGTCAACACAGAGCCTGCTTCAGTTCCTCTCTCTCCCTCTCTCTTCCCCTACCCCGCTCTCTCTCTTTCTCTCTCTCTCTCTCTCAAAATAAATAAATAAATAAACTTTAAAAAATTAGAAAATATTTTTAATAGCTAAATTAATGGGGATTAAGTGTTACAAATCAAAGTGAGGCCATGACAAAAAACCATCACATGGTGATTTTCTGTCTCTTAGGAAAACATAACTACTTATAGGCTGTCCGGTCTTCAGGGTGATTCAGCGTCTCAACCTAATGTAGAAACAATTCTAAAATACAAAGAGTTACATTTATATACTTTTTAAATTATGATCTATTTTTCTTATAAGAAACTTTAGATGAAATTTGAAATTCTGTTAACTTTTATCCTAGTTTATCTCTGTTTCTTAGTCTTCATAAAGAAATCCCATGTATTTCACAGACATTTCATATACCTTAGTTGAATTTATTTAGAAACATTTAAAATGTAAGATAACCTTTTAAATAATATTTATGTGTTAATTATATTGGTTGACTTGAAAACTAGTCCTAGTGTGTCAAGGGAGCCACCAGTTATTTTTAATCAAGAGCTAAAAATCCAGTTTGACTTAGAAGATTCTAAAATGATTTCCTGAAATGATATTTGGTACATGGTGATTACTGCTTTTATGTTCTTCTCTTTAACTTTACATGTTGTTTATCAGCAGAAAGAACACTTCACTTATGGTAACAATCTGTTTACAGAAATTTGTTTTAAAAGAATTAGCTTCATTTTGATTTCTCTCCATATTTTAGTAGGAAGGGTATTTATACCAATTTTGCTTTTCACATTTATTATAATACAAAATTACACTAATTTAAGTAATAAAGTTTATATTCAGAAAAGGCATTTTTCTTTGTTTTATTTTTATCTTGCAATATACATAATTTGCTTACTGTGGCCAGACCCGTATTGCTACGTAAATGAATTATTTTAGAAAAATGCATTAAACTTTAACATTTAAGTTCCTTTTGTAGCATGTATTTTTCAGAACTATTTATGTATCATTAAATGTTATACATGGCTACGTTATACATATCTACATATTGTATTTACATTTATTTATGAGGATTATTGTATTTCCACCCTGTCTTCACTGTGATTATTATATTTTTCTCCAAGATATCTAATTTTAACCAAAAAAGTAATCTGTCCATGTGAATTTCTTGGTATAGCAAATTAAAAGTTTTATCTACAAATAGAGGTAGATGGAAGTACACAAACTTAGTGTTTAATATGGTCTCAGTTTCTGTCAATTTCATGCTCACTTATTCTCTTCATCTCTTTTTGCAAGTGGCCACTTCGTCATATGTTTTAACTGTAAGAGGATGAAAAACGCAAAAGTGCCCACCATCAGCATAAAGTGAGGCATTTTAAGCTCCACTGTGCAAAATGAAAGTGTAATATTCACTGCAGAGAAGACTTAGAATTCTATTATCTTGTCATTTATACCTAAAGGCACTTTGATTTCTGGAATAGGTTAAACAAAGGAAATTTGGAATGGATTCTCTTTAAAATTTTGTGAATTTGAAAGCCTGAGATTTGAAGACCATTGAATACGTTTAGCCATTTTCCAGACAATCCACAGATAGAGGATAAATTGTGATGTAATTAGCTATGCATGTCAAGGTATGTGAGCATTAAAAAAAAAAAAAAAAAAAAGAGGCTGATTTTGTGACTTATACCCTAGCCACCAAGGAAGTGGGTTAGCACACTGCAACTGACTTCCCAATTCTGGAAAACTGCGCATATGCTTCTGGCCTTGAATTTGGGATTTCGTCTTGAAGTATAGGTTTATACTGTCCGGAAGGGTCAGGAACAAAATAGGCAGTGATTATAGAAACAGTATCTCTGGGTTCACTCCTACATCCTCTAATACTCTTGATGTGATCTGATCTATAATTGAACCTCACAGGGTGAACTGTTTGCCCTCAAGCTTCATCCAGTCCTGATGGATTCTGGGTCCAGGTATAGGAAGAAAGACTGTCATATCGATAATAGAATTGTTTTCCGGGCTTAGTGTTAGAAGAGACTTAAGTGGTCATTTGGTGCAACTCCTCTTATTATTTTTTTTTTAATTTTTTTTTTCAACGTTTATTTATTTTGGGGACAGAGAGAGACAGAGCATGAACGGGGGAGGGGCAGAGAGAGAGGGAGACACAGAATCGGAAACAGGCTCCAGGCTCCGAGCCATCAGCCCAGAGCCCGACGCGGGGCTCGAACTCACGGACCGCGAGATCGTGACCTGGCTGAAGTCGGACGCTTAACCGACTGCGCCACCCAGGCGTCCCAACTCCTCTTATTTTAAATGCGGGAAACTGAGCTCTAGAGATACCGCAACTTAACACTCTTACTAGATTAGTATTTTCTCCAGTAAAAGTCATGCTGACAGTAATAACAAAATTATGCAAAGTCATGAATCACATCCAGATCAACACACATATGGTTTGACCTGTGAAGTATTTTTTATTATCATCACCTTTATTATTACAAAAGTGGCCATTATTCCAAAATACTTCCTCACATGCAGCTTATCCCTAATTTTTCCATTCTTTATTCAATCACTGTATAATCTTATGAAACTTATTTAATTTACAAGCTATTTTAGCGAATTTTTGAAGTGATAAATATTGTTCAAACATAACATGACAAACAGACATTGGATTCTTTTCTGCATTATGAAACATACAGGCAGGAAGGACAACTCTATGTCTAGTTATTACTGCTAATATTTATTTTAACATTAAAAATAACTGATTTCCACATTCAACACATCTTCTCATTGGCATTCACATGAGGGCACCATCCCCTCCTTTTCTGTGTAAATCTGATTAACGGGCTGCTCCCACTGTCATTTTGCACACAAAACTTCTATTCCATTTCGACAACAATCCTATTTACACAAAGACCTCAGGGTTGAACATTTAAAGTACCTAACCATTACTGAATATTGAATCATTTCTCTCCACATAAAATTGCAAATGTGGTCTGAGAGCCAATTTCCAGATTACCTTGGTTGAGTAGTACTAATTACTTCTAAACCAAAGGTGCAGCCACAGTCTGCCAAACCCATGCTGGATTCTTCCAATGTCAGGTGAGCTCTCCCCACCAAGTGATCATGTCCTACTGTAGAATGCTGTATGATCACTCACGCTTATAATAATGATTCTCCAAATAATGCTGGTGACAAATAGTCATAATAGTAATGTGTACTTTGCATTTGAATGCCTACCATGTAGCAAGGCACTGTATGCAGTATCTATTACCTCATTTCATTCATTTCTGAAAATGATCTTATGTGTCAGTTATTACTGTTGACATATTATAAATAAGATAACTGAGTTTCACAGGGATTGTCCCACAGCCAAAGTCACACAGCTAACAAGTATGAGAGCCTAGGGCTACTTTCTATTACAGCCCTCATTCACTTCTTTCCACTACACCACCATTTCTATGCCTTCCTAAAACAACCAGCAAAGATGAGTGAGGCCTGAGAACATTGGTTTGGGCACTGGTAGAATTGGGTGCTATCCTTGTTTCTGCCACTAGCTGAAATGTGACCTTAAATCAGTACTTGTGTGTCATTTCCCTCATCTGTAAAATTAGGTGGTAGAACTAGCTTTAGCCTTCTGTGATTTTTAAGTAATTTCAAAGAAGGTTCTTTTTTTTTTTTTTTTTTTTGGAGAAAGAAAATTGAAAAAAAAATTGTTCACAGTTACAATACCATTGAACAATATTTCTCTGGTATTTCCCAGGTTCTCATCTGATTTTATAGCTTCAATCACAGAATAGAATCCTTGTTGATATACAAAGAAGAACATATTCTGACCAGATCAGTGAAGCATGGAGAAAGATATGAAATTGACTTAACGTGGGTCAGACTCTTAGAAAGTTTGAATTTACCATCATGCATTTATTATGCTGCATATATAAAAAAATTAAATGAATGATGTGAAGCAAGGTGGGAATACAGTACAAGCATAAAGGATATTTATAGTATGTGTGATGAAGCATAAAAATACATTTATCTCCCTCAAAAAGCAAAATGTTGGATATATTCATATGAGACACCTTAGGCTATATCAAGAACACTATACTTAAATACTTAAATGCATTTACATACTATTCATGTAAATATATTGGCCTAACCATAGCAGCTCTAAGGATTCATGATAAGCTGTGAAAATTGTCTGTAAAAGATAAGTGAATGACCCTTTAAAATAGAATAAAAATTAATTATAGTACACCAGCAATTTTAGACACATATACATACCATTTTGAAAATCTGTGCTTTTGAAATGTTAGCCGTTCCTTATGTAGTTCTCATAGTGATGCATCCATATCACATATACAGTTTCCTAAACATATTGTATTTTTCTTAGAACATCAAACATTATGTCCTATGTCAATTTTGTAATATTTTGAAAGAACAAAATATGGTATAGTAAGCTGACATATTTTCCTTCGTTGAAATATTCTTTTGTGTGTAAACTCTTTACAGATTTTTCTCACCATTTTCTCCTTTTCTAAAGTTGACAAAAATGTAAATGATGGCAAAGTGAAAAGAATTATCATTTCTTTCAGCAGTTATTACTCTATGTTTCCCTATTGCTATTGCATAAATATTGTCATAATTCTACAAGTTTTATACTAGAAGTAATAATAAATAATTCCTTCACATAATTTGTGAGCGACTTCTTGGAATATCTGATTTTTGCACACACTAAAACATGTCACTTAAGGTGATTTTGAGCTAGTAGAAATTTTGCCAAAAAAAAAAGTGTTAAGTTTGATTTCACTCATTAATACATTCAATGTGTATTTACTGAACTCCTACTGTGTGTTAGCCACTATGCAAGTTGCTGAACCTATATTGCTAACATGCAAAGTTTGATGGCTACATGAAGCTTCCAGGCTTGATATGAGAGACCAATAAACAATTAAATCAATAGAGAGAAAAAATAATCACAAATTGTGAAAACTTTCACAGAGGAAATTAACACATTGAGGAGATAGAGATTAATTGATGGAGGCCAATCTAGACAAGGTGAAATGGGGCAATTACTGAGATCCTGAAAGACAAAAATGAAACCAAGGCTTGATGAAGTGTTCTAAGCAAAGGCACTGTTAAGTGCATAGACATCAATACATACCAAAATATTTTAGAAATACATTCTCCAATTTGTCCTTCAGTTTCACTAATTAGTATGATTCTCCGGAAATCTCAGCTCTCCTGCACAAAGATTGTCTGAAGAGATAAGCTTTTTTGAAAAGTTGTAGTAATTTAGGAAAATAAAGAAATTACTTCTAAGAAACAGCTTTAAGAATGAAAATGGGTGAAGTAGTTAATACTTAAAATATTATTCTTTACTAGATATTATCTTTTTAAGAAATTAATATCTCAGAGCAATGATCTGTGCTTGGATCTTCTGTTTATAACAGTCTATGAGAAAGATTAATGTGTTTTTATAGAATATAATTTATCTTGATAAATTTTTGTCTTTATAGTAATAATGACTTCTTATTTACGTCTCCTTATTCACAATGAATGCATTTGATTCCCAGAATATACACCAAAATAGAGGAAGACAGAAAAAACTAAAAATTGTTTGTTAAAAACATCTAAAAATATTTTCATGTGAACTTATCATTTCAGAAAAAATTACATGGAGTGTCCAAAGATTAATTTAATAAGTATTCTGTCATCTTATATTATACATAGGTGCTAGTTAGAGAGCATTTTATTTTGCTTTGAAATATTTACATTGCACCACCAAGAAATGAATTAAATAATATCTTATAAAATTATTAGAGATGATTTTATGAAAATTAATTTAAATGAATTTACATACAAATTCATAATAATAATGGCATATATATATAACACCAGAGCAAATTAATGAAAAGTAAGGGAAAAATCTATTATATTCATTTTGTGTAAAAAATGTAAGGATTTGCCTTTTTTATGACTACTTTGAAATTTTTTTAGGCCCAAATGTTTTTTTTTTTTTTCTTCAATGTTTATTTATTATTGAGAGACAGAGAGACACAGAGTGTGAGCAGGGGAGGGGCAGAGAGACAGGAGACACAGAATCCAAAGCAGGCTCCAGGTTCTGAGCTGTCAGCAAAGAGCACCACGTAGGGCTCAAACCCACAAACTGCAAGATCATGACCTGAGCTGAAGTCAGACGCTTAACCAAGTGAGCCACCCAGGCACCCCTCTTTTTTTTTTAAGTTTATTTATTTTGAGAGAGAGAGAGAGAGAGAGAGAGAGAGAGAGAGAGAGAGAGCTGGGAAGGGACAGAGAGAGAATCCCAAGCAGGCTCCACACTGTTAGTGCAGAGCCCAATGGGGGACCTGAACCCACAAACTGTGAGATCATGACCTGAACCAAAATCAAGAATCAGCTGCTTAACTGACTGAGCCACCCAGGTGCCCCTAGGTCCAAATGTTCTTAATTGACTGATATAAAGTGATAACAATTGAATATAAAATTGAATAAGTTCACAAAATATACATTTTTTAATCTTTTTTTTCTTTTTTTACTTTTGACAGAGTGCACACATGAGTGAGAAGTGGGGGGCAGAGAGGGGGGGGAGAGAGAATCCCAAGCAGACTCTACACTGTCAGTGCAGAGCCCAGTGTGGGGATTGATTCCATGAACTGCGAGATCATGACTTGGGCCAAAATCAAGAGTCAGGGGCTTTACTGACTGAACTACCCAGGTGCCCCATACAAACTGTACATTTTTAGTCAGATGATAATGCTACCTGATTTTGAATAAAACTTTTAAACTTTTAGTTTTATTATAAATAAAGCTAGTATGTTTTATAAAGCTTTAGCCTAGTACAGTACTTGGAATAGTCATCATTCAGTCTTCACATTATTTCTGACAATTCTAATTCTCATTTAAGTACAACTCTAATCTGATATCAATTACATGTCATTTTTCAATCAATTTTTAAAAAATTAGAGTTTAATATGGAGCTAACACATCTCCTCTGAGATAAAAGTAACAGAATTCTAATCCACTTTGGAGAAGGTAGATTCTAGAGCGAGCATTTTGCAAAATTTGGAGTTATCAAGAATTTTTCAGTAAGGTCATAAAATAAGACATGCAATAATCTAATATGGAGATTAAAGCTTTCTTTAAAGTGAAAGCTAAATTCTGGTCTCATGTTAAGGGCTACAAAATAAAAGCTTATCCAAAGAATGAATGACCAGGTAAGAATCATGAACATCTTTTCCATTTTTACATAAGAAGGAATAATTTTAAGAAAGAGGGAGGGGCACCTGGGTGGCTCAGTAAGTTAAGTGTTTGACTTTGGTTCAGGTCATGGTCTCGTGGTTTGTGAGTTCGAGCTCCATGTGGGGCTCTGTGCTGACAGTTCAGAGCCTGGAGCCTGATTCACATTCTGTGTCTCCCTCTCTTTGTGCCCCTCCCCTGCTTGCACTCTGTCTCTCTGTCTCTCAAAAATAAATAAAACATTAAAAAATATTTTTTAAGAAAGAGGGAATAAATAATTCAAAAGCATTTTATACATATTACACAGATAAGGTAAATTGAAAATTATGTTCCAATTTCAGTTAGGTTGTTAGGTTGTTGAGGTTTTAAGCCAGCTAGAAATATTTCTACTTGTGTATACAACAAATGATGTCATTGAATATATCTCATTAAATCTTGGTAAAATAAAAGTGAAAGGTAAAATAAAGCAGATATTTGTGTGCAGATAGTGATTCAGGGAAACATGTATTAATCTGGAATCCACTTGGCAGAGTTAGGGGGCTTTCTGCGGTTTCATATTTCTTTATGAAAACTCCCTGGTGCCGATCACATTTTATTGTAATTATTCACATACCTTCTTTCTCCAAAGAGCTCCGTGAATACACAGCAGTCCTCTCCAAATTACCTGTTATCACTCCTGAATCTATGGTAGGTACTCCATAACTGTGAAAGGAAAGGATAAATGAATGAATGAGAAAAGAGAAAGGCAAAAGAGATAAAAATAAAATTAGCAAACCATAAGATGAGAAATAGAGGAGAAAACAATCTTTTTACTCCGTCCTACTTACAAAGCCATGGAGAAATGGAGAATGCTGAATGATAAATTAAGAAACTATACATTTTTGGTGCTCCAAAATGTATTAAAGATTTAGCTTATTTTGGTAGGAGGGAAGAAAGGGGGTTGCTAAACTATGATCTCCTTCAGGAAAGTTTATATTCACACGAGGATATACACCACAATTTCTTCACATCTTTACACTCTTGCCTTCTATCACATCTTCATGGCATCTATCATTAGGATATGATTCCATTTTCATGGCCAGATCTTTATAGCTCTTTTGGGCTGCCTCATCGTTCTACAGACATTTAATCTCATATGCTTTCTTATTTCAATAGTTGTCCTTCAAGCAACAAAGATGATCTGCATGTAAGGATGCTGTTTCCTCTAAAATGTCATCTTAGACAGTATAGAAGGGTAAAAATAGAAACAATTTTGGATAACTAACACTATAAGAGTAGCCATCTGCTTCTCAGAAAGATACGGATGTGTTTTCTTGTTTCTTTCCTCTAACCAATCCAAAAGATTTTCTTCCTAAAATCTAAGATTATGATATTTCTCCAAAGAAAATTTCTGATATTTCTGACAAAATGTATTAACTTGTGAACACCCTGGATGAACTTTAAATAACCCATCAAATATTGCTGATGGATAGATACTACATAGAATGATCCAACAGCCATATGGAGACCCGATGGACAATCGAGCTACCATTTTCCAGATTGAGAAAGCAATCAAAATGAGGAAAATGGGAAGAGTACCATACCAGATGGTACTCCAGCTGAACTATACAAGTGTGGGTACACAGCAAATAGTGAATACTTTCACCACTTGTTCAAAACCATATGGACGCAGAAAGATAGATGTAGATATTTGAGGGACACCTATTTCTTAAGAGGAAAAAGGATAAATTAGGGTACTAAAAGCTACTACTGTGTTAACTGACAGGAAGTTGCTGACTTAAATTTTGTGCTATCTAAAATAATTTACTCTGGGATATTATAATCATAACAATGTCCTAGAACTTCACAAAGTAGCATTTATGAAATAACAGAATAAAAATACTTTAGAGAATATGTTGAAATACACTGAGTTAATTTCAACTGATTTTTTTTTAGATCAAAGTTAATAAAAATGCAAACACTCCAAATCTTAGGTGTTATTTATTATTTCTTTATGATATGAATTGCACAATTAATAATATTTGAGGTCATAGCTTTAAAAAAATTTTTAAATTTCAATGAAATAAAGTAACCTAAAACAAAAAAAGTATTTAAAGGCCTAATATTTAGAATTTATTTAGGTTATAATACTAGGTTGCACACACTCCTGTCATTGAAAAATATTTAATCTAATAGAAGCCTATAATGAAGCTTTTTTTTTTCTTTATGTAAAATATAGCAGACGATTTACGTGCTACTTATCACAGAAGGTCTTGGGCAATCTCAGACAAAGCAAGAGACTATATTCTTGCATGGTTTTGACCTCTAAACATGTGTCAATGCCAAGTTCACTAATTGTACACCCAGCATAAATATCAGAAAGTTCAGCCAAAAAACAGAATCCTGAAGTATGAAATAAAGGTATCCATAAAGAGAAGATATATGTTTTGATTTTATTTTATGTTAGTTACTGTTTCCAACTAAGAATTTTATTATGAAGCTGCTTGGATGTTTGCTGTAAATGATACATGAATACAGATAACTCCATTGATAACTGAACCAATGAAACTGTTAAAACCCATGCTGACTTTTGCAGAATATTTTAGCACGCAATGCTATACTTATCTCATCTACACTTGTAGAATACAAGCCAAGGAAACAGATAGGAGGCTTCTAAAGGTAATTTTAGAGATAGTATCTTAGAAACTTGTATAAATGGTAGTTCAAATAATATGCAAACAACTGAAGTTCCACATCTAAGTTTGTAGGGAAGAAAGAACTCAGAAATATGTTCTCCCACAAACATAATTGTCAAAATTCTTAAAACCCACACTCCCAAACTGGTTTTAAGTAAACATTTCAAATGCCATAGTCATAAAATTTACTAATTTATTTTTAAACAGAGGCTACCTCAATTTTAATGACATTATTATTATTATTATTATTATTATTATTATTATATCGAAAACGGAGCATTTTCTCTGGGCCCCACACACAGTGCTTAGTTTGAATGGAATGTCTTATTTAATTCTCACAAGCACCCTGTGTGATAGACATTTTCCCCCATTTTATGGGTAGAAAATGGATACAGATAGGTTAAGCAACACGTGGGGCGCCTGGGTGGCTCAGTTGGTTGAGCATGGGACTCTTGATTGTGGCTCAGGTCATGATCTCATGGTTCATGAGACGGAGACCCAAGTTGGGCTCTGTGCTGACAGCATGGAGCCTGCTTGGGGTTCTCTCTCTCTCTTCCGGTCTCTCTCTGCCCCTCCCTCGGCTCGCACTTGCTCTCTCTCTCTTTCAAAATAAACTTAAAAACAAAATAAAAAATAAAGCAATACAAGTGAACAGCCATTTATTTTTTTAAGTTTATTAATTTATTTTGAGAGGGAGAGAGGGGGAGAATCCCAAGCAGGCTCTGTTTTGTCAGCTCTATCTCATGAACTGTGAGAGTGATATCATGACGTGGGTGGAAATCAAGAGTCTGGACACTTAACCGACTGAGCCACCCAGGCGCCCCTGAAAAGCCATTTCTGAACTTAATCATCATGCTATGCTGCTTGCCTTGGAATAATCTACCTAAAACATTATTATTTTTTTTTTAATTTTTTTTTCAACATTTATTTATTTTTGGGACAGAGAGAGACAGAGCATGAACGGGGGAGGGGCAGAGAGAGAGGGAGACACAGAATCGGAAACAGGCTCCAGGCTCTGAGCCATCAGCCCAGAGCCCGACGCAGGGCTCGAACTCCCGGACCGCGAGATCGTGACCTGGCTGAAGTCGGACGCTTAACCGACTGCGCCACCCAGGCGCCCCCTAAAACATTATTTTTAATATTCATTCATTTATTCATTCATTCATTCTTTATTGAAGTGTATTTGGCATACAATATTATGTGAGTTTCAGGTGTACAACATAGTGATTCAACACTTATATACATTGAGAAGTGATCACCAGGATAAATCCAGCTACCATCTGTCAACCTTACAAAGTTGTTACATATTATTAACTATATTCTCTATACTGTACATTGTACCCCATGTCTTTTTATTTTTATTTTACACCTGGCAGTTTTGCCCTTTTATCCCCTTCCTCTATTTTGTCCATCTTCTCATGCCCCTTCCCTCTGGCAACCATCGGTTTGTTCTCCGTATTTATGAGTTTGTGGCTGTTTTGTCTGGGGTTTTTTGCTTTAACTTTTTAGATTACACATATAAGTAAAATCATATATTTTCCTTTCCCTGTCTGACTTAGTTCATTTAGCATGATACCCTCAAGGTCCATCCATGTTGTCATAAATTTAATATTTTCAGAGATGAAGAAAACTTACAACACTTAAAGGAATTTTATTTCTATTTCATAAGCAACATTAAGATTTAGTTGCTTCTAGATGAAATTTGATACTGGTGATTTTTTCCCTAGGGTTTGGTAAAAATTAATATTCCAAGAATTCTTGATATATGTAAATCATTTTGCCAATTCAATAAAAATTAACTTTAATGTTATTTTTACTTACAAACTGATCAATACACTCCTAAGGTATTTTATCCTTCGTATATATATATATAGTATTTCTTTGTAGGGAGATATTGATAATGCCTAGGTCTATGTGAATAACATATATGAATAACTCATAAGATCGTGAAATCTTAATTCAAGCATGACGCCAGTTGATGTCATGAGAATTAATCAAAATACTGGCAATCATGAATATGTAAAAATTAACACTTGACTGCTCTATGTTTAAATGGGCAACATCACTTATTCAAATAGTAACTCTTCCCTTTCACCCGGACAGCTAAATCTCAGCTATGAATGAAAAAGGCAGAAATAGACGGGATCTGGTAAAATTGATTTTTTTTGCTAGTGAGATATTATTACACTGATGAACTGAAAAATCAATTTATAAGATACACCATGAAGGAGTATACTTTTTTTCATATGGAATCTATCTTAAGTTGAAACACTGAAAAATAGGAGACAATTTGTGTCATATCTAAATATTTTATATGGAGATGTCAAAAGTCTGATACACTCACTCTATTTCTCGACTTGTGACTGTGTGTATATCTGCAGTTGTCATTCATGAAAGCAACTAAGGCACAGGTGTTAGACCCTACCTACCTTGTAACCTTGCAGCCAACTCATTTGCAGCATGTAAAGTTACATACGGATGTGTCTATGTGCTTGCTGCATCCCTCTCTCTCACGTTCTCTCTTCCTCTCTTCCTCTCTGCCTCTCTCTCCCTTCTTACTTTCTTCCCACCCTCCCTCCCTTCCTCTTCCTCCCCTCTCTTTGTGTCTTCTTTCAAGCTTCCACTATGCATGGAAAACTATTTCCCAAGATCACATAGGGGAGAAAATTCTTAACATGTCTGTGTTTATTGTAAGTAAAAGTCCAATTTCTCTAACCTCTGAAAAATAAAGACTGCTTTCCTGTGAGCATTTTTTCTTTCATTCCTCTATCGTAAGGTAAAGATTAGCCTGGTGGGGACATAAATAACATGCTCTAAATTATCCTTAATGCCTATTTTCTTTATGATTAACAAATAAATGTCTTTGTGGTGTTTGCTCTGTCAGGTGGCATATAAATGCTAAATATTTGCTACTACTTACACAGATCATGAATATACACAGGCAACATGTGCTGGCTTCATGAAAAACTCTGAAACATATATTCACGTTTTGAAGGATTCTCAAATTTTCATAAGTTCATATTTCCT